CCATTATGTCCTAAGAAATCAATGTTATATGAATATTTCCCTGCTTGAGAACAGCACCATTATTCTACAAAGCTTAGAAATACAAGAAAGAAATAAAACCCCATCAGGAAATTGAATTTGCACCTTATTTAATGCATGGTGACAAAACAGATCATTAGACTTTTGTTAATGAATAGCATTCAGTTCTGCAAACTGCGAGCCCATGCTCATAGAATCTGCTTGGTGGTTTTGTTTCTTCAGTGTTGAAATAGTTTTTACTTAACATCAACATGGGGTTATTTTACCAAGGGCCTGGTTTTTCAGCTCTCACTAACAATAACCCTATGGAAATCCTACATAATGCTCAGTAGGATCAAATCCTACTTCCATTCACGTTGAACAAATCTGATCTCTTCATTTTCATCATTTCCATTAAAGCTTGGAAATAACTCAGCCTAAGAATGGTCCTGGTCCCTCGGAGGTCACAGGCAAAAGGATTGCTCTTGAGCAGCTACGTTTTGTTGTCATAGCCCAGGCTTGCATACACAGACTCTGTAACTTTGTGAGCTGACAGCAGCACTGATGGTATCTCTAATCTTTCTGTGCCCCAAGGAAGTAAAATAGTAGCTCCAGATAGTAGTTCAAGAGAGAAAAAGCTAGCAGGATGGTGTTTTCCATACAGTGGGAGGTAGAATTGTATTCCAGCTTACTCCATTCACAAGAGAGGCAGGATTGTCTGGAATATGGAATTCTTCAATATACAGACTCTGAGAAAAAGGCTGAGTTCCTACAGGAGCTGTTGAAGATAATTGTTTTCTTTTTTCATTTAAAGAAAATGGTAGGGTTTTTGTCTCTCTGCTTGCGGTACCTCAGGAAATAGAAATGCTCCCCAGTGTCTCCTGTTTCAGAAGGGAGGTTCTGGTCATGTAAAATGAAATTTCTTCCATCATATTGAGCAGGAAGGGTCTTGGGGAAATGTTATTCTCCTGCAGAACTATTTCCATGTGGTGGATGTTTACAGAATACGTCTTGCTTTTTGCCTTCTCCGACATGATTTGTACATCACTATTGGCTCCATGAAGTAATTCTTTCGAAGCTGTTTTTCCCATCAGTATAGGAAAAACCAAAAGAATATAATTTGATGTTTCCTATTAACTGTCATCATTTTGATATAAATTTTTCTGTGATGACATGCTATTTGTACCACAGCAATTGCCTAGGTCTCACTATTAGGGTTTCTTGTACGTACGTAGCGATCACGCCTAGTTTCTCTTCATTGCCTCTGCTGTTAATGGCATGAACGGCGCTGGGCAGATAGTCTTTCTTTTTAACGAAAACGATCACAATTCATCCATCTTTTCTATGGTATTTTTACAGTGGTCATAAATATACGTGCTAAGTCAATATGTTTAGGTTTGAGGGGATTTCTTGTCAGAACCATGGCTTCTGCACAGTTGCAAAAAGGAGAAGAAAAAAAAAAAGAAAAGCTGTTTAAATCCCTTCCTTGTTTGTACATCTCATTGTACACTGAGTGTGGATACAGTCATGTTCATCCTTTCTGATTTGATCTCTGACTCAAAGTGAAAGCAGCCGGCTGGAACAGCATTTTTCCAACCGTGGATGTTAACAGTCTGTGTGACCCTTGTTTCGACCATGTAGCTTAAAGCTGTGATTAGTGATAGGAACACATATGCTAAATTGGCTGCAAAAATCCGTTGTAATGTGGGGTTGCCAGGACTTGTCTTTAATTCTTGCAGATTGGTGTGTGCTTCCTGCTGTGAGTACGCCAAAGACGATGAATCTGCTGGGGGTTCACATCATAAGCAGTTCTGCATGTGCCTGAATTCATGACTTGCCAGTATGAGAGAATTTAACTCATTCTGAGTTATTGACAGAAAGAGATTAGGTGGAAAGGAGACTTCATAAAGAAAAGGGCAATAGAGGAAGCTTCTTTTTAATAATAGTAATTACTGCCTTTAAAAGGCTTGCCAAATAATTTGATCCCCCATTTTCATCACTAGGCTTGAATCCCTGTGGCCACGCGGAAGGGACAGAGCTTAGTAATTGTGAGTGCATGAACCCTTTCATTCAAAGTTTGTAGTATTCTTTGCAAGCGATGATCTGCCACTGACCTCCATATGGTACATTGAAGCTGGATTTGGAGAAGCTGGGACAGAGGTTGCATTGAAAGTTACTTTTTATCATCCTACCTTATTAGACCGTTGCCTAGGCAGGTACAGAGGGCCATAATGACTAAATGAGTTTTTCAAAAGATGACTCACTGGTAGATCTGGGGACCATAGTAAAGAGACAGAGCGTTCATATATGCAGCTTCTGAGGCAGATCCAGCAGCATGCTGAGTGCCCTCAGCTTGAAGCTGAAATATATAGAGACTTGGACATAAAAGCTATAAACTAAATTACAAACTGTAATGTAAATAGTCACGTAGACACATGAGTACTCCATAGCTCTTTGTGAAATTTAGAAGCTTCTGAAGCATCTAGTGCTGATCAGTCCATGACAGTACTCCAGTTCATACACAGTAACAACAGGATCTAACAGTCCGAACGATGAAGTAATTCCTAACAATTTTTAGACACTGAAGTAGAATTCTTGGTTACTCCATGATTCAATGTAAGGATCCACCAAAGATAACTTAGAAAAGCAAACCAGTTGTAAGTGGGCTTAGGTTTCGCCTCTGGACCTCCAATGGAAAATGTCTAGATGACCCCCAACTCAGGAAGAGTCTAAGGTGATGTGATGTAGAGGTCACAGTGTTCTCTGCCTAATGATTACATGATTTTGTACCATTAGGTTGAAAATAAGATTTTAAACAAAATGGAGATTAGTAGAAGAAGACAGAAGAATGGGAGAGGGTTTTTTCCTGGAGGTGTACCTAAAAACCAGCTTGGAGCATTTTGCAGCATTATAATAGAGCCTTAACAATAGTTCTCTGTCATTCTCCTAAGTCACTGATGATTGAGTTTTGGCTGTTTGTGGATTTAATGCCACTATGAAGTGTAATTTGTTTGCACATGGAATATTAACACTGTTCTATGCAGAAATGTGAAACCGGAAAAATGCTAGTACAGCTACTGCTTTAATGATTAATTTAAAAGCTGCATTTTAGTGCATTCAGTTTATTGTTATTCTGGTAATTATTGTTACAGTAACAATCATTAGACCTCTGGGGCTTGGCAACAGGCAAACAGAGAATTTGCAATCCCTGCCCAAAACACCTTGCAATTTTAATTTTCAAGGCAGGTAGTTAATTAAGATATTAGCCCATTGTAACGTGGGAGAGAATGAATGTTGTGCACAATATCATGCCTGGAATTTGTGACAGAGAGATTAATTGAACCCAGTACCCGTGATAATCTTTCTGTATTTCATATTTTAATTTTTCAAGGACTCTGTAACTGTGAGGACATAGAATGCTGCTTATTTATTTTTCCTTAATAATCAGAATTTCTGATATTCGATATTTCTGGTGTTTGATCTGACTGTACTTGAATGTTATGAGGAGGGATGAGATGGAATTGCTTGCAGAGTAAGAGTTAAGCTAGCATCCTAGGCGGCTGGGAAGAGTAGTTTCTCTTACTGAATTACGCAGATACAGCAATACACAGAGGAACAGTAGGAGTGGCTGAAACCACAATGCCTGGGAGCAGCCACGTATATATTTGTTTAAGAGCTCACCTAGCAGCTCCTGTTTATGCTTTCTCACCGAGGTGAATAAAGAGGACTTTTTAAAGCTTGCATGAAGCAAGTAGTATTTTTGGTGCCACTGTGGGATGTTAAGTAGTTAGGTTCATGTCCTTTGTTCAATGCAAGCTAAAGCCAAAGTGTGAAATTCAGTCTCCCATCTCCCGTGGCACTTTCTCGTCAGAGGAGTTGGCGATTACAGGACGGATTGCTTTCCGTCTCCTCTCTTGACCAGAAATGCCAATGTAGCACTATGAATATTTTCTTAAAGCAAAACAGGCACCTGGTCGTGATGTGTTTTGGTTTGGATGAATAAGCATTTAACAGTGGGAAAATTGCCAAGCACAGAAATCCTTGACTGGTCCTTCACCCTTTTACTGGTGCAATTATTTTTCTCGATGAAGTTGTACATGTCCAGAAGTCTATATTCAAATACCAGAGTTATCTAATCCATGAAGTACAGGGCGTATAGTATATGAAAGACTAACACAAGACCAATGCAGAGTGGGCACTCAAAGGTCATAGTAGTTCTTAGGACATTAATTTGTTCAGAATACAAGCGGGGAATACTCTTCCCATTGGCTTTTTTCAGAGTCCAATATACTGTTCTACAGTTTGGCTGCATATATCATGAAGTGTATACAGTGTGAGTTGTGGCTAGATTTGTAATGCTTGGTTGTCTCTTCACTGCAGCTTTCTCCCAGTATTTATGTTTTAATTAATACTGTAAAATCACCCTGAACATTTCAAAGATGATACTTTATAAGTAAACCAAAAAGTATTGATGCAGAGATGGTGAAGCAGCTGAGTGTTATCTGGGGACTGGAGGAGTTAATCTAAACCATACAATCTCTAAAATTGTCATTGTTTCAGAAAGAATCGGTACCTTGAAGCATGTGGTTGCATGAAAAATGTATGCTAGTGTATAAAATGTAAAATCTGTCCTATTTATGGAATCATCTTTTCTTCTGCTCAGTACCAGAAGTGAAAGCAAGATTGCATTGGTACAAATAACTCTGATAACATGATTAACTGGATGATGCAAGGTAACAGGTTGTGTTGATGACCAAGTACATGAACATTATGGTTATGTAGATTACCCCAAGGAGAGTCTTTATTACAAGCTCTCTTGTAGCCAGAGAATACCAACCATCTCCTGGGATGTCAAGGCATGTAGTGACAGGAGGAGAAAGCCAAAATCTGATAGAAGGGAGCAAGACCACCAGGGTCATCTCATTGTTGGCAGCGTAGGCTGTTGCTGACATCCTTAGTAGGTATATTTTTCCAATCTCTCTGTGTGTTTTTTTTTCTTCCAGTGTGTGGCTGTGACTTGGCACAAGGAGGCTTTTTCATTAAGAACGGGGAATATCTTTGCACCTTGGATTACCAGCGCATGTATGGTACTCGCTGCAACGGTTGTGGGGAGTTTGTGGAAGGTGAAGTAGTGACAGCTCTGGGAAAAACTTACCATCCAAGCTGCTTTGCCTGTACTGTTTGCAAGTAAGTCATTCCTTTCAACTAACATGGTGTGAACCCAGCACAAGGAAAACAGGGCAAAAGGTTTCACCATGAGACACAAGTCTCAAGACATGCTTCTCTTTGGGAAGCATTTGGTTGGAAAAGATCTGCTGCAAGTCTGACTTTGAGGGTCTTCGAAATACCACTTATTTATTTTGGGGGATGCAGCTTCTCTGTTACATGTAGTTCTGTGTTCTCAGAAAGTTACTGTCACGTATGAAAGAATTAAGTATCAGGCTTACATGTTGAGATAATGGACATGGGTTGCATTGAATTCAGGTGATCAGCACAGCTTGATGGGAGAAATGAGGTAAGGCAAAATTCTGGATGTTACAACAGAGAAATCATTTGGGCTATAAGAACAGTTAAACAATTGAAAACATACTGGAGACTCATTTTCACATCACGTGAGGATGCACAGCTTTGGGACAACTGTGATACTCTCTTCTCCCTAAATACTATTTCTTGTCCTCAGTAAGAGAACCAGTCTTCAGTTCTACAGGCGATAAAGAGAAGGTAGCTAAGACTTTGTGGATGGGACAAAAGGTGGCATTTTTAACTTGTATTTTTGTTTAAACTCTCACTAAGATATTAATTCAGAATTTAGGAGACTACTGGGCAAATCTTCCACATGCCTGCTCATTTGAGCAGTTCTATACTTGAAAATGTCAGCTGAGCTTTACAGCCTAGGCTCAACCCAAAGTCCCTGTTCATAGTGTTCTCTGTTAGTTGGCTCTAGGCACTAAGGTAATGCCAGAATTTAGGCTGTCTTAGCGTGTACCTTGCTGCTATGGTGATCAGTGTAATAGTTGGGAAATAGGGGAAATAAAGCTTCTGTAGGTTTTTATAGGAGTGGCACATTTTTATAGTGGTAAAAACAATCTTCTAGACATAAAGTGGAAGTAACATGGTATTACAGTGCCATCACTGAGGTGTGGTGTAGGGGGGGGGTCTGTACTTAGCAGCTAAAGTTACTAACTAAAGATTTGGAGTTACTGAACCTTCTCATTTTAGTGAAGTGCTCATACAGAATGTTGTTTGTCCTCTATTTTATACATCAGATAACAGCAATGTCAACTTCTGCCTAACACACATTCTTAACATTTTGTTGGGTTCAGCAAATAATCTTGAACTTCCATAGTGCATTCAGCCTTTACCTTTCTCCTAACACTGTCTGCCCAGGTAGCGATTACAGTGGTGGTTCTGTAGTGTAGATGGCTATTTTAAATCTCTAGGAGAATGAGAGTGCGTAACATTTCATTTTTTTGCAACCTGCTTCATCCACTGTAATATAGTCATATATTTCATTGCTGAATACAGATTAATGTGTTTCTAAACTCCACATTCCTTCACTAGCCTCAAGACCAATTCTGATTCTTCCTTTGAGTTCTCTTCTGTACCAATCGCTATCCACAACATCACGCTGAGACCATCATAAATGTGACTGTTATGTCTAAGTGGATTTCACTGTCGTCTACTCTTTAGATAATGTTTGATAACTATTTTAAACCAAAGCACAAGGCGAGTCTAACCTCTGCTCTGCTTGCATCCGTGGGTTGGATTTCTTCCAGTGCCTGGCTTTGCCAAGGCTACATTGGAGAAAATATTTGGCCTAAGTTTCTGTAAAATATAGATTGCACTGGGTGAAGGCAGCAAACTCAAGGCATAGGGAACAGAGTTAAATTCCTGACATAACCTTTGCTAAAATACATTTTTCTCTTTAACTCTCCAGACGTCCATTTCCACCAGGCGATCGAGTTACCTTCAATGGAAGGGACTGTCTCTGTCAGATGTGTGCTCAGCCGATGGCCTCCAGTCCAAAAGAATTGTCTGCCTCAAGCAGTAAGTATGCCGTCTTCTTTCTGAAGCTTCTCACTTTCCCAGGCTCGTCAACATTTGGTTGAAACTACGTTAATGCAATCATTTGTTTTTTTTAAATTTTTCTTCACCTTTAGAAATGTGAACTATCTCTGGGAACCGTCTTTTTTTCTTTCTTTTTTTTTTTTTTTTCTTTTTCTTTCATTAAAAGTGTCTGGTACTATAGGTGGGAAAAGACACACATTTTGATGTGAACAAATGACATTTCCCCAATGACTGGATTTTTAAAAGGGCTGATTTTTCTTTTATAGGCCCTGGAAAAGTATCTAACCGATGAAATCTGAGGTTTCAGAGTTGATAGATTCCCTTTTTTTTCATGTATAATTGCACAGGTTTAGGTATTCAAAAGAGGACAAAGTCAGAGGAAATTAATTTTCTTCTACTATTTAACGCTTTAATTTAATTAAATTATGCTTTAAGAGGACTGTTGCCAGGATTATGCTTCCAGCAGGCTGATACCACAGTGATACTGTGATCTTAAGAAGAGAGAAAGCAAGTTAAGGGGAAAGAGAGAGAATGAAGAAAGTTTGGGAGGGAAATTAACTTGGTTTGCTCTTGGGTTTTAATGTTTTTAAAAGGTAATTCATAGATTACTAATATTAATCTCTGCCTCTGGTAGTTAATTTTTTAAATCTTTAGGGATTTCTGATTCTTTCTCTGACTGCTGGATTGTACTCAGCACTAATCTGTAGTGATTTACCCAGTATAGTTTTATAATTCAAAATGGCTGCAGATCTCCTTGTGACGCTGGGTACTTTTCCACTGATGTTGGTTTCCTGCAGGGAGACACTGTGCATTTTGTACCTGTGCTTGGCTTTAAGATCCTAGGATTATAAAGTGCAGTGTAAAGGCAAAGTTGGATAATGTTTGTGCTCAGCGGATGAGTCAAGTGGATCTCAGGTTGTCTGATTTGCCTGAGAACATGTAATCAGACACTTAGCAAAATGGAAAATGAGACCCATTTTTTTGCTATCATGCCTTTCTGTCTGTTCAATGATACTTTTCCACTATAATTGTAGATTTGGAGCTGAAAATGCACGGGCCTAATTAGTTAAGGAAGAATTTAGGAAGGTGAAAAAAGCCTTACAAAACTTACAAACCCACATACAGATGTATGAGGTACTTCAGGCACCCAGAGAATCCTTCTGAGATAGAAATAATGTGGAAATTGTATATGTTTGAATTACTGATATTCAGGAGGTATAATTGGCAAGGAACTGCAAGGCATAGAGACCTCGTCGGTACTGAAGTCCTGTTTCTAAGTGTGTCACAGCATTGACTCTGAAATGACTAGTGTTCGGTGGTGGAAGTATCTGGATCACACTACATCTGGTTCTCAAAAAGTGGCACATTTGTCCAGCAGTGGGGCCACTTCCCGGTTACATGAGTCCAGGTGCCAAAATGCCCCCTAGCAAATGATGGGCTAAAGTCATCTGATAGTAAGCAAGTGGAAGAGCTGGAGTGTCGCCTCCCAATAGCCATAGTCTCTGCTTGAATTGCTTCTTGGGTTCCACACTGAACCCAAGGTAACAAGGATTATAAAACAATCTTCCCTGCTACTTGTCATGGGATTTATTATTTTTTTTAATCAAAACTGGGTACTGCTGGGCAAACTGCCTTACTAGTACACAGAACAAGAGAGCTCCTGCTCTTAACAGTTTAGAGTGCACAATTTCTAAATCTGCAAGCACCTGCTACTGTGCATCTTGTTCTTTTATGGATGAAGACTTGTAGAAAGATATAGTAGAGAGTTTCTGGTCATTTTAGAGCAAAACTCTCCAGAATAGGTGAATAAAAGTGAGACCAGCATGTGTTTATAAGTTCAGAAAAACTCAATTAAAAGAATAGTGATGAACCATCCTCTGTCTTCAAAGGTATGCCAGATGCTGCTTTAGCTTTGTCCAAAAGTTGACTTAGATACAGAGAAGTCTTTCTTGCTGGCACTGAAGAGTAAATTTTAATTAGTGTAAGCTGTTCCAGATTGCTTCCGCATCTCTCCTGCTGGCTGCATCAGACACATCAATTTTTTCTAATGCTTTGACCTTTTTTGAAAGGATGGGTTTTTTCATACAATTTCTTTTAGAAGAGAATCACATTCTTGCTATGCATCTATTTAATATCCTATATTGCTGTCAGTTCCCCCTGATTGCTTCCAAGTATATTACTAGCGGAGGCTTTCCTTAAAACAAAGGAAGTTGGAGTTGAGGAAATTCAGTAGACTGAAAGTATATCAGGTGTGATTGGTTTATGTAATGTAAAAGGAAGCCTTCTATCTGCTAGAATGACTGCATTTATGTTGACATGCCATTTTCTGATGTCTGTTACTTCGCATAAATGAAAGGGTTATTAACAGCTTTTCCTGGATGATTTCAAGGACAATCAAATGCCTCTAAATACAGGGGTTAACATCTTGAATAACATGAACCTGAATATTGTTACACTCTTTTATAGTGCACACCAATGAAAATACTGAATAATTAATGTTTCTTTTTCGTTTAATATTAGTTGGATCCATGGTGCTTATTTACCTTATTTATATTAATAATATATTTCTTTCACTGCACATGTATCCTCAAATATATATAGCTATTTTCTTGAACCGTTTCAGTGACTCCTTTTTTATTCTAATTTTCTAAGACAGTCTTTTTCAGTATACAGGTGCTATAGACTAATAATAATTCATAATTTAGGCAACCCTATTCCTTAGACAATGCTAGATGTACACAATGCACTAGCTTTGGGATTTTCATTCATTTGACAAGAAATCTACTACCAAATACCTGTAAATGGCTTTGCAGACAAATGAAATGGGTGGTGTTTGGTTTTGTTATTGTTTTACTTCATATGACAGCTTGATAAATGGAATGTGATCTGTAAAGCAAAGTGACTGGGACAGATGTAGAGCAGCATAGAAGCAGGGGACAACTAGACAACACGGACTAGGAGTGTGACATTGATGGCTTGGATAGTTCAGCATTTTCAAGATTCTGCCAAAGATGGGGCATTATTTCCTTTGGGGCCTGATAAAGGAGTAATATAAGTAATGTATCCCAGTAATTGCTATTTATGTTTTAAACAGTGTCCAGTTTGTATACAGCACCATGACTGCCCAGTTTGTACTATCTTAACCTCTTTCTGTTGTGTTCTAGCTACAGGTAACACACCTGTGTTTGTTACGGTCCATATTGCCTTCCCAGAGAAGCAGCTGTGCAGGCATCTATTGTTTCTAAACTTTAGGCAAGACTGCAACTTGTGCGCTTGGCTATTTGGTGATGGGTGCCCTGCTTCGCCCTCCCTCTCCCAAATTTTTCCTTCTTTTAATTAAGATCTCCTCTAATGTATCTCTGTTCCATTTCACTGTCCCTCAGCATTTTGCATTGCCTATTCAGTGGACTGTCTTTGAAGGCCACCTTTAAAAATCTGCAGATTATATGGGTTTTTTCCAGATTTCGTGCTGTAATTTAGAGTTGAAAAGAGTCAAAGCCAAAGTCAAACTTTTGAATTTTTCCCTATCATCATTGTTATTATTTCATGTTGTTCGGGGGTTTATTGTTTCCATGTTGTCAGAGGAGTGATTATCTAGCCATTACTTCCCTTTGACCTGGGAATTCTGAGTGCAGCTTTCTGTTCTTTTCATACATGTTTTATGTACCAGTGTAGGTACTTGAATTTCAAGGGTCCATTCTCTACCAGCAAAATGCAAAGAAACCCCACTGCTCTAGCTTATTAGTATGTTGTGGTTAGAAGCAAGTTGAAGACGCTTAGGTATGGCACTTAGATGATGCAGTCCCAAGTACTATGCTGCTGCCCGAGTCTTATCTATTGATGCTAAAGTCACAAAAATTAGAAAATTTGTGTGATTTTATCTTGTGTAAGGAGAAATTCAAGAACCTGAAGTCTGCTGAAATCCTTGTTTGTCATCCATGTCAGGGTTAGGTACATTTGAAAGAGTTGTGTGAGTTTTATAATACGTGTTTCCAGCCTGCAGCATCTCAAACTATTTTATTCCCCTTGTGGCGAAATGAGCAGCAGCTGAGGGTACGCACTCTGGGTTTCTGTTAGCGTTAGTGTGTGAAGCAGAGGCAAGTAGATTGGCCACGTGAACAAGCTTAACCTCTTTGATACTTCTCCATTAGAGCATTTTATCAGTGAATTCTCACCAAGGCAGGCGGTAAATGAACTGACGCAGACATTTGAACACAAAAATCCCGAGTTTAGTCAGACCGTCATTTTTAAAAAGCTGGCTTGCCGCGCTGGCATGTGTTTCTTCTTGAATGCACAGGAGGTGTTGTGAAAAGTACAGCTGAGAGCAGAGCAGTTGTAGAGAGATCTCCCACTCTCAGGGTAGGCACATGAGGTGGTGCCAGCAGTCTGCGCTGGTGGAACTCGAACCAGCAGTCTTTTGGCTCAGAGGTCATCTTTGAAATTCTGAAGAGACTAGATGTCTTTGAACACAGTTTAATCCATTTCCGTCTTCCTTGAACAGAGATTTTTCCCTTAGGCATTCCACTTCACTACTTCCACCTCAGTAATAAGAATGTTGTGTTATTTCTCTGCCTGAAGTCAAGCCCTGTCTCTGTTGGTGCCTTGTCTGGGTGCTGGTAAGGAAGTTTTAGTTACTTCTGATTGCTGTTTTGCTGAAAGGCCGGATCACTTTAGTGATGTGCGTGAACTAATTAAGAGGTTGCATTTCAAATGAAAAGTGGTCTTTCTAGATGGATAGAAAAAAATTCCCTGTCCAAAAGAAACTGAAGCGTTACAATCACCTAGCAAGAGTTTTCATTTGAAAAATTCATCTTTTGAAATGATGGCAGAGACTTTCACAGCTTCCTCCTCTTCAGTGAAACGGATACTTGTGTCCTATATACGCCGAGATATCCAGTGATGATCCTGTTTGGAAAGAAGCACAGGGAAGATATTTCAACTGCCCTTTCTTTGGAACAGTCTCTCCTGTGAGTTAAGAG